AACTGGCCTTTTTATATTACTAAAGATCTAATGTAGAATGTGTCATGTTCGTTCTGTAAGGGCTGCTGTAATTGGCGCAAAGCTGTAGCATATACCCTGCCATTGATTGATTGATAGTTTGTATATTCTTGTGTTTGTATTTGTGCACATATGATTGTGTGAAATTGGCAAAGCATAATAAATAAATAAATAAACAACTTGGCGAAAAGGTTTTTTAAAAAATACACCGCTTGTGAGCCTTGAAAATATTTATTGAGGAAAAATACATGCAAAGTTTTTATAATTATAAGAGGACGAAACAAACAAGACTTCATACCGGTAGATTTTATTGTTGTGGAGGTAGCCAATCTTTAAATGGAGCTAGACTATGCCACATTCTCGTACCCAGAGCTCGTCTTACACGCGATCAACAGAGCATGACAAGGGTAGCAGGTACGATCGGCAGTTGCGCTGATCAAAATTTAGCCTCTGAACGACAACAAAGTGCCAAGTGTGCCAATGTCATGTTTATGCGCGTACTCTAGGTATTTTAGTCTTAACAAGTGCATGTGTTATTTATTTATATACAGAATATAGAAGTGCATCCTGAGAGTGCATTCTTGCAGTTTTTCTAGTTAGACAGTCACTCTGGGCTTAGATAACAAGCACCAAATGATTTTTGGAATTAGCAACACATCAAGTAACTTCAAGCTTACATACCTATAGCGGCTAGGCTGGCTTGCCTCGCTACACAATACTTTTTGGAGTTAGACAGTAACTCAAGGCTTAGATACCTAGTTTTTTCATGATTTTTGGAGTTATTCTTAGCTCCAAATGATTTTTGGAGTTAGCCAGTAACTCCAGGCTTAGATGCTTAGCTCCTAAATGATTTTTGCCAAATTTGGAGTTATACCTAGCTCCAAACGGTTTTTGGATTAATAGGGTGATCAAAACAAAATCAATTTCCACATTAGTCCCTGAAATTCCATTTCATGCACTTTGGAGGAAGATTTTAAAGCATTGCGATGGTCAGAAAACATAAAGTGACGTCAGTGTCAATTTGTGATTGCTTCCTAGTTGATCTTTTTTGATTTTCTACTGCGGGTGGCCATTGATTCTATTCCGTCCCCTCCCCCTTGCATATTATTGGTAGGCTCTCCCTTCCAGGCCCCTACTTCCTATCCCGCTGTCCTGAAACTTTCTGTATTCCTATTTTGTAGCTCCACAACCTGGTCAGAAAATCCTCCTAACATTTCGAGAATTTGACACAGAATGTTGTTATGATTATTTGAAAGTCTACGATGGATCATCAAAACAGAAACGATTAGGATCATTTAGTGGAAGCACTATACCTTCTACTTTAATATCCGATACATCTGCAGTAAGTAAGATAATTCTAGCCATATTGGGGGTTGCCAAGAATAGTATAGTAATGAGAGCTTAATAAGAAAGCATGCGCCTAGGAGTTGCACACTCAATTTAAATGCTGTTTAAAGCCTTGATTTGTAATGGGCGTGTTTTGCTCCAATGGGAATCCAAAGTTATTCAATTCACTGGCAGATAGTTCTTGCTCTGTGAATTATTGAAGCATTGGATAGTGTACAAGGGTCTGTTTAAATTTATAAATAGTATTCTGGCTATAGGCACGATTGGATGTTTCTTTCCTGTACTGTACGTTTAGCGGGAAAACTCATTCATGCATGATGTTGTACGTGCCTACGTGGTTGTGTGGACAAAATACACAGCTGGGTTAAACATCATATACATATATATCGTAATCGTGGATTATCCATCTACACCAATAAAACGATTGCCTTTCTCATGATCCAGTAATTGTAATGTATGTATCTTACGCTGTGTTTCTTCCGTATTGTTTTTCAGCTGACTGTAGAAAGTTTGCTGCATTTGAGTGACGTAATAGGACAAAATTATTTGCTTCCTTGCCCTTGGCTTCCTTGCACCACGCTTAAAAATGCGTAATCCTTAACTTGATCGTATTGAACGTGAAACTCGGTGTTTTGATCGTATTTAAGTAAGATAGAATATCGTTCATATAGCCACCAATTAGGCTATATACTCAAAACCTGCTCGGCAACAGTGAAGTATTTGCAGCCATGCATGTTTTGCGGACGTCCAGTGCGGCTCGTAGGTAGCAGGTGCATGGTGATGACTAAATATGTATACGCACTCGCTATCACCTTGCAAGTGCTTATGAACTTCCCTTGATAATGAGATTCTACTTCATAAGTGAATTTTATATTATGCCATAAAAAGTATGCCAGAGTATGCCATAAAAAATTTTCCCTGGCAGAAAAATCCAAAAGTATAAACATTTGTTGTGTAAGTCAAATATAAAACTTGCTGCATATGTAGATTTCAGAGAACGCACGGTGCCGCACCATGTGATAAACTTCAGTCATGACACAAGATAATCTCAACTTGAAAAACACTTTTTTGGAATTTTTAAACAATAAGTAAATTACTGGCATCCCAGTGTACAAGATGACAGAAATTTCCTGCAAGACGTAAGAAAATGTCCTGCGAAGATATTTTGATTCCCTGGCATGCAGCGGTGCTGCTGGCGCTGCCGGACACTTTGCAGCACTGATAAGGGCTCTTTTTTCTTCTTTACCTCGCAGATTGTATTGGAATTCTTCAGTGACAACTACAAAACAGGAGGTGGCTCTGTCATTGATTTCCTAATCACTGACTGCCCAGGAAACTGCAGTGCTCATGGTAGTTGTATTGGAAACCAGTGTTCCTGTGATGAACTATACACCGGTGCAGCATGTGATATTGAAATCTGTCCTGAGTTTTGTAACAATGTTACAGGAAATGGTCAGTGTTCACAGGTACTGCGGATATTTCTATGACGTATTTAACAGTTACGTAAATGTGATGAATTATTTACTGAGGGGTAACATGTAAATGACGAGTGTTGCGCAGGTTTACATGAATGACAAAATGATTAGGCTTTTTTCGTGGATTGAAATTACGAACGAACATTAGACGGACCAGTTGCGAAAAATGCAATTATATAGCCTTAACATTGCGTTAGGTCGAATTTGGTGCTCAAAATTTAGCCGGGTAATCGATTAATTTACAGTAACGGAAGCGATATACAATATGTATAAATCCAACATACTGTATCTATGTATGTGAGGCCAGACTTTATTATTTTTTGGTTTACGGATTTTTCCCTGTATATGAATTGATGACGTCACTACGGAACTTTTTTGAAAAACAGTGCGTTCTATCTATATTTATTCAAATGCACGCTGTATTGTAGCACAAACGTCTCGAGAAATAGGCTTTTTAGAGTGATTTTCGCACGCGTGTCTTGCCATAGAAACGTCATGTGTTACTTAAGGCCCTGTCACACTATTGCGTATGAGAGAAACGTATGAGAAGCGTATGAAAATTAATGAAATAATTTTCATACGCACAAAAAACCTTTGAAATGCCAGCGTATGAGTACCGTACATCTGGCGTACCTCTAGCGTATTCAGCGTGTGCCTAGAGTATGCTTATCGTATCAAACCATACATCCGAATACCCACAAAATTTTTGAGCATGCTTAAAAAAAAATTTCTGCCTCGCCGTATGCCAGCGTATGCCACCGTATGCGACCGTGCTTGAAACGTATAAAACCTATGCCTAACGTACCCCTAGCGTATGTCAGCGTATACCGGCGTATGAGTGATATTTTTCATACGCTGGCATACGCTAGTACGATACGCAATAGTGTGACAGGGCCTTAAAACTAACATCATTTCAAAGAATAAACATTAAAACATACGAACATGCAGATATCTGCTGCATAAAGTCTAAAAATGTGAAACTGTTGTAAACTGTATCGAGCCACGTTAGCTCTAGCCTCTAGTGTCAAAGTAGCATATTTTTAAAGTTCATGTAATTCTGTTGTATATTCAGAGCAAAGGTTGTGAATGTACTGGCGACTTTATTGGAGAGTCATGTTCATTTTCACTCCGTGACGACGTAACGACTGGTAGTTGGCATTTGATCAGAGATTACTCTACTGTGTTCCGAAGTCGTTTTGCACATGCTGGTGTATATGTTCACAACGCATTTTGGATATTTGGAGGTAAAATGATGCAGTTATTGTGCCCACCAATATGTGCCTGATTGACTGCTTGTGAACTTTGCTTGAAAATAAATAAGACTCGATATTAAGTTTTTTGATTTCGAAGAAAAAACCCACTGCATGTGGACGTATTTTGATTTATTTGGACAATACGATTGATTATTGAAAACGCTTTATCGATAACGACATGTATTGAAACAATGCATCAACGCAACAACAGTGTATATGTTTGGATTCGTTCAATCAATAATTCACAACGATTGTTTGAACCGAGGTTAAGAGATAATTAAGGGGATGTTTACAACTACATGACCCTGATTTGCCGGGTGAGATGGAAGGCGGCATAATTTTGATGTATTGCAATTAGTCACTAGGCTTAGACGAAAATTCAAACGCCGGTTAAAAGAAGTAGAACACAAATGTTCTAGAGAAGATCTCGTAGTTGAAGAAGATTATTATTGATGCTTCAACAACCTTTCGTTTGCAATTATACTATAATAATATTTGAGGCGGGATAATTTTTTATGTAATTACTAATGACATAAGTCACAGTGCACGATTATACTCGTCCCGACAAAGCGGGATCATGTAAATAGCCCGGAAGTAACTGTTTTAATCCCTATAGCTGTCCATGCTTTCTACTTTGAAATGTGGAATTGTTTGTAATTTGATATGTCCAAATGATGCTGATTCATGTACTCGTTGCATTTTATCACACCCCAGGATAACCATGCAGTGATCCATGTAAAATCAGGGTAAAACTCAGTGGAAAAAACTTCTTGAAGGAACGAGAAAAGATATTAAAACTGGTTTTTTTTTATATACAGGGGGTAGAGAAAGCAAGTTTTAATACTCACAACTTGTCTTCCACTGTAGTTGTAATAAATTATTATCGTCCTTCAATTTCATGTAATTAGATGCAGATTCTTACTCGCTTATAAAAACTCAAAAACTACAATCAGCGTGTCTTTTCTGAAAATGTTTTAGGATTTGATCTAATTGAAGTGTTCGATGATTTGGTGAAGTTTAATTTTGACGAAAGGGAATGGCAGCTCATTCAACCCATTGGAGATCGTCCTGTAAGTACTGGCTTAATTGTCATGCAATTGTCATGCTCTATGTCTATGACTATATATGTATTATACAGACGATACTCGATAGTCAATGCTTCGGCTTAAAACACACAATAAGTTTGATGAGCGCTAGGTACCTAGGTTAATAAATAGTTTGCAGGCAGTTATGACTTGTATTTAATAATTCACGACTAGATTCTCTTCAATCTTCAACATAAACATGCATTCTGTGCTATAAAGAGTTTATTTTGACTTTAAGATTCAGAATATATTTAATAAAGAATATACTGTATTTAGTATTGGCAGCGATTTTTCGAATTTGTCTGCACTATTGCATGCATTGTAGGTCAGTGGTTTGTGTTTGGACTATATCTGACTGGCTGAGAAAGCGTAAAAAAACTAGTCCAGTAGCCTACAAAACTACAGTACTACCTACACTGATTCAGAACCAGCATTCTTGAGATATCTTTCTCAGATAGTTCAGACACAAACCACGACAACTTATTGTAGAATACTATACTGTACCTATACTGGACTACCGCGTTGAGATATTTTTTCAGGTAGTTCAGACACATGCGTCATGCAAGCCAAGGCAGC